TTCTTAATTTCTTACACATGTCTTTTCTTCTTCTTCCAATTTTACATGTATATATCTGGTAATATGAATAACTGGTTGGAAGACAACAATATGTATTACAACAAATACTGTGAAATTCACATTACTTTGTTAAGTGAAATTCTGTATCACTTGTAATTTTTTTCTGTTTTAATTCTAATCTGGGGCCCAGGGAGATAGCTCAGTAGAGTAAGTGCTTGCCTGGCAAGCATTGGGTCTTGAGTTCAATCCCTGGTACCACAAAAATAAATAAATAAATAAATAAATAAATAAAGTATTTAAAAATAATTCTAATCTGCACATTCTTTAAAAAATAATTTTCTTTTTTAAAAAATGGGGCTGGGGAGATGGCTCAGTAGAATAAGTGCTTGCCTAGCAAGTACAAGGGCCTGAGTTCAATCCCCAGTTCCACCAAAAAATAAAATAAAATAAATTAATAAAGAATATCTGTATGACTTATTTAAAAGAAGAAAAAGCAAACATATACTTAGCACTTACTGAGATCCAGATATTCATTCATTCAACACTAAGTAACCTTATTTATCTATCATTTCCTGGGCCAAGCCAAGCTTTGTAAATAAATTAGTGCTTGAACTGGGTTTTTATGGAAGACCAGAAAATTTCCATCCAACCAGAAAAGCAAGGTATGGACACAAAAGGAATGATTATTGCAGGTGCAGGGTTTTAAGAAGTGATTTGGAAGCAGTAAACAGAGTGGCATATTCTAGAACATCTACATAATTTGACATTACATATAATTAATTTCATTTAATCCTCATAACAATTCTATGGTAAGGTGTTAATGTTCCTATTTTATAAAGAATCAGGTTCAAGATTACCCAGGTAGCAGGGGATACTATTAAAATTCCAACCCACTTACAATTGCTCAAGATGATTTTTTTTCTGCTCTATTAGAGTTTGTTCTTGCCTGGGTTGGAGACCTCACCACATCTGTGATTCGAAGTGTAAATCAGAGGAAGTGTTCTGGAACTGAATAAATGTCTCTTTCTTATTTTTATCACCAGAAGTGAATAAGTATACACAAGATTTTTGGCATTTTTTGTTTGTTTTTTTGAGATGGGATCTACTGTGTAGTTCACCTTGAACAAACTATGCAGCCCAATCTGGCCTCAAACTTGAAGAAATCTTCCTGCCTCAGCATCTGCAGTGCTGAGATCACAGGCATGCACCACTACGTCTGGCTAGATGCTTGGGATTTTATCATAGAACAGCATAGTTACTGCCCTCCTAGAATCCATAATGTACAAATGCAGGAAGCAAACATAGACCATTCATTCACAAAAGCCAACCAAAAACCTTTATAGAAAGTGAAACAATTGACATGTCTAAATCCATTTCATATAGGTCCTTCTCTAAAAATCTACTGGGTTGACTGAAGAGAGGCTAAATGCTCAGATAAAAAGAAAGCAAAAGATGAAATACCATTTTGAAAAACAGAAAAATAATAAAAATTTCAGGGCCGGGGAGATGCCTCAGTATAATAAGCACTTGCCTGGCAAGCACAAGGGCCTGAGTTCAAGTCCCAGTTCCACAAAAAAAAAAAAAGAAAAGAAAAGAAGGCTAATGACATTACATTTTAGTGGGAGCAATACACTTAATCATTAAAAAAAAAATTGGGGCCGGGGAGATAGCTCAGTAGAATAAGTGCTTCCCTGGCAAACACAACGACCTGAGTTCAATCCTTGGTTCTGCCAAACAATAAAAAAATAAAAATTTCAACAATCCTATAGTGTCTTACTATGCAGTTGAGGCTGGCCTTGAGTTCAGTTTTTAGACCACGGTGGTCTCAAACTCACAACAATCCTCCTGCTTCAGCCTCCCTAGTGCTGGGAATAAAGCCATCTTTTTTCATAATTTTATTGATAAATAGCAATGAGACGGTTTCAAATCAAATCGCTAGGACAGTTTCAATAATTAACACACTGCATACATTCCTCTTAGTGGTTAATTGCTATACAAGATGCGGACTTGAGATCCTATTTATAAACATCATTAGAGCAAACCATTCTATTCATTAAGAGAATGTAACTATATATCTATCCTAACCACTTTGAAT